GTCCCGGCCGTATTCATAGGCGGCCAGCTCGTGGGCGGAGCCAATCAGGTCATGAGCCTCCACCTTAACCGATCTCTCATCCCTATGCTTAAGCGAGCCGGAGCATTATGGGTTTGATCTGTTGGTGTTGTCATGTTTTTGTAATAAAATGTTCTGAAAAAAAAGAGATATTATAGAAGAATAAATATGCATATATATATATATATATAATATGTATGTATGTATGTACGTCTAAGTTTTGAGGGATAGATCGCGAAAGGTACCAATTTTTGTAACCTTTGGGTATCTTATCTCATGTAATAAAATCAATGTTACCCCGAATTTTCGTTTATTATATTATTATACTTTTCTTGTAAAGTTATTTTATGGATTATATATATGCGTTTTTTATAAAACATTTATATATATAATATGTATGTATGTATGTACGTCTAAGTTTTGAGGGATAGATCGCGAAAGGTACCAATTTTTGTAACCTTTGGGTATCTTATCTCATGTAATAAAATCAATGTTACCCCGAATTTTCGTTTATTATATTATTATACTTTTCTTGTAAAGTTATTTTATGGATTATATATATGCGTTTTTTATAAAACATTGTGTGACTAAGAAAATCATTTTCAAACTCATAATGTATATGTGCATATATATATATATATATATATATATATATATATATGGTGAAGCTTTGTTCAACAGATATACAAAACCTAAGTACTCATTTTCATTTATTCAAGGTGTAATCAAGCCTATTTTTTTTTACCAGAATGATGAAAAATGTTATTCATCTCATCACTAACGAAGCTTAATCACATTTTAATTGTTTTTAAAGTATGATACTTAGCCATCTTGGCTTTCACGATATATATATATATATGTTATTTTGTCTCAATATGTTAATAGCGAATGTTTAATTTCTATCGAGTTAACGTAGAAATAAAAAGTTTATAAAAAAACGTAGAAATAAAAAGGAAAAAACGCGGAAGCAAATCGTCTGGAGTCATTTACTATTCTCACGCGCTCTTTTTTCGAGATTTACGAAAATCCGACGCTTTGGATCTTGTACGGGGAAATCACGCACGTTTATCTACGCGCTATATCGTTTTTCTTGTCACACGCTCTAAAGTTTTTTTTGGTTGAATGTGAAGTGGTATTAATAAGTGAGGTTCAAAATAATTACAAAAAATCCCCATTGTTTGGGTAACCCATTGAGCAATCTAAGACAAAAACATCCCATATGCAAATGGATAAAATACTTGGCAGTCAACTGCCTTTTCCCGTGTTTGCTGTGTTATCGCCGTCGAGTTTGTTCCATCAAGAAGTACCAGTGTTCTAGCAGCATGTTGTTAGCTGATCCAACCCTGCCATTCACCGACAAGAGAATGGTTCTCATCAAGTTGTCTACCTGCTACCGAAGAACGTGTGCCGTCTTGTGGTTATTCCGGAAAATGCGGTTCTTTCGTTCATTCCACAGCAGGTATGTTGTGGCATGAAGGATTAGTTTGCAAATGATTGTCCTACTCTTTCCATCATCATTTCGAAGTGCCTCGATCTAGTTAAAGCTGCCCTGCAGTGAGCTAGGTGGAGAATCCCAACAACATGAGCTATAATAAGTCCACAGCTGCACAAGCAATGGAAAAAGGGATGCTGGTGGGTCTCCTCCTCCAGCCCGCATAGCACACATGTAGCCTCCGTTGACACAAGATATAATAATATAGGCCCAATTTCCATCGTTCTAAAGTTGGCCCAAGATAATGTTAATAGGCCCAATTTCCATCGTTCACTCGAAAATTTAATTTTAATAGGCCCAACATAGTGTGACCGGGGTTCCTTATCTTGCGCAATCACACCATTGTTATCACAGTACAACTCAATGGGATCTGCAATGCTAGGAATAACGCCCACGTCTCCCACGAATTTTCTGGTCTAAACAGGTTCCTTAACTGCATCCGATACTGCTATGTATTCGACTTCTGTACTCGAATCTGCAACAGTAGGCTGTTTGGAATTCTTCAACTGATAGTCCCACCGTTCAAGCAGAATACGTAACCTGACTGCGATCTGAAGTCATCTCTATCGGTTTGGAAACTAGCATCGGTATAGCCACTTATAGCGAGCTCGTCTTCCAATCCGTCATATACCAAGAACAAATCCTTAGTTCTTCTCAAGTACTTAAGAATATTCTTAACCGCAATTCAGTGAGCCTCATCTTGTATAGACTGATATCAACTCGTTATGCCCAATGCATATGATACATCCGGACGAGTACACAACATGGTGTAAATGATAGATCCAATTGTCGAGGCATATGAAATCATACTCATGCGCTCTCGCTCATCATGTGTCTTTGGACACTGAGTCTTACTTTGAGTCACATCATGTCCCATTGGCAAGGCACCCCTCTTGGAATCTTGCATCTTGAACCGATTCAAGACCGTGTCAATGTATGTACTCTGACTTAGGCCAACAAGCTTCTCGATCTATCTCTATAGATCTTGATGCCAAGAATATAGGTGGCTTCTCCTAAATTCTTCATCGAAAAGACCGATCCTACCCAAGATTATACTACTTACAAAGTAGGAATGTCATTTCTGATAAACAATATATCATCTATATAAAGCACAAAGAAGACCAATGCGCTTCCACTGACCTTTTTGTAAACACATGGCTCATCTTCGTTTTGCAGGAAGCCAAACATTTTGACTGTTTCGTCAAAGCAAAGATTTCAACTCCTCGAAGTCTGCTTCAGTCCATAAATGAACGTATGAAGTTTGCACACATTCCTCAGACTCCTAAGATCGATAAAACCCACAGGTTATGTCATATACACATCTTCGAGTAGATTTTCGTTAAGGAATGCGGTCTTGACGTCCATCTGTCATATCTCGTAGTCATAATATGTAGCTAGAGCCAGCAGAATCCGTATGGATTTAAACATCACGACTTGTAAAAAGGATTCATCATAATCTATGCCATGAATCTGCCGAAACCGTTTCGCGATGAGTCGTGCCTTATAGGTATGCACGATGTCATCCACCTCAGTTTTCTTCTTGAAAATCCACTTACATCCAATGGTCTTAATTCCATTAAACGAGTCGACCAAAGTCCATACTTTGTTGTCGTACATGGGTTGCATCTCAGACTCCATAGTCTGGTGCCATCTCTCATAATCGGGACTTGCCACGACCTTTGAATACGACGTAGGCTCATCATGCTCTAATAGCATGAGTTCATCATTTCCAATCACAAGAAAACCGTATCTTGTAGGCTCTTGACGAGTTCTACCTAATCTTCGAGATTCATTAGGAGGTGTTGTCTCAACAACTTGTGATAGAGGTTGAACCGATTCGACCTGTTCAGAAGCTTCATCGACTATTTGTGGTTCTCGGAACATTTTGTTCTTAGATGGGTTGTAGAACCAATACCCTTTAGTTTCCTTAAGGTAACCCACAAATATGCATATATAAGATTTGACGGATAACTTATCAGAAGCCAGACGTTTTATATAAACATCGCATCCCCAAATCTTCATAAAAGATAACCTAGGATGCTTCCCAGTCCATATCTCATACAGAATCTTCTGAACCGACTTTGTTGGAAGTTGTTCAGTATAAGCGCTGCAGTTTCCAACGTATAGCCCAGAAGTATTTAGGAAGATCGATTTGACTCATCATGGACCATACCATATCTAATAAGGTTCGGCTCCTCCTCTCGGACATGTCATTCCACTGTGGCGTTCCAGGTAGAGTGAGTTGTGAGATAATCCCACAATCTGTCAGATAGTCAGTGAACTCTTGCCTCATATACTCGTCACCTCGATCAGATCGAAGCAACTTGATTGTCTTTCCAAGTTGGTTCTATACTTCGTTTCTGAAAACCTTAAACGATTCAAGTGTTTCAGATTTATGTCTCATCAAGTAAATATAGCCGTATCTACTGAAATCATCAGTGAATATAACGAAATACGGATAATCTTCTCTAGCGGACGAGCTCATAATACTGCATATATCACTATGTAGGCCATTCTCCTTTTCTAGAAAAAGAAAATTTTGTCATCTTGCCCATCAAACAAGATTCACACGATTTGATTGATTCATAATCAAAAAAATCAAGAAGCCCATCAGAATGGAGCTTCGCAATCCATTTCTCATTGATGTGACCAAGTCGACAATGTCAGAGGTAAGTCGGGTTTAAGTCATTCGGCTAAAACCTTTTGGTACTAACGTTATAGATTGAACTGTATTTAGATGGTTCATCATCCAAAATATAAAAGTCATTAAATTTGTAACCCTTACCATAGAATAAATCACCTCTATAAATGGACAAACATTTGTTCTTAATAACAAATTGGAAACTATCCGAGTCTAAGCATAAAATCGATATAATGTTCTTACTGATAGCAGGAACAAAACAACAATCATGCAACAGGATACAGAAATTTTGTCATCTTGCCCATCAAACAAGAATCGCACGATTCGATTGATTCATAATCAAAAGAATCAAGAAGTCCATCAGAATGAAGCTTCGCTATGCGTTTCTCATTGATGTGACCAAGTCGACAATGCCAGAGATAGGTCGGGTTTAAGTCGTTCGGCTTAAACCGCTTGGTACTAATGTTATAGATCGAACTGTGTCCAGACGGTTTATCATCCAAAATGTAAAGGCCATTAAACAGGTAACCATTACCATAAAATAAAGCGCCTCTATAAATAGATAAAGTTTTGTTCTCAATGACAATGAAAACCATCAGAATCCAAACATGAAATCAAAATAATATTCCTGCTGATGGCATATACAAAATAACAATCATGTAACTCCAATACAAGGCTAGAAAGTAAAGTCAGATCATAAGTCCCCACGGCTAATGCAACAACCTTTGCTCCATTCCCGACGCAGAGATCTACTTCTCCCTTCGCCAACTGTCTACTTCCTCGAAGTCCTTGCACATTTCCACAAATGTGTGAGGCATATCCGTTATCTAATACCCATGATGTAGAAGTAAACAAGTTCGCATTTATAACAAAGATACCAGAAGTCGAAGCTTCTTTAAGCTTCTTCTTTTATTGATCTTCCAGGTAGAGTCTGCAATATACCAATGTCCGTCGACATGATAGAAATTGCACTCTCCCTTCTCTGAGTTAGGCTTAGGTTCAGTGACAATGCTTGTCACCCTCTTTTTGCCCTTATCTTTGAAATGCTTCCTTTTGATGGAACTCTTTCCAACAACTGTCATATCATTCTTCCCTTGGCTCCCAATCTTGGAATGACGCATTCAACTGATCAACTATCAGAGAATTGTCCATATCCTCTAATTGCTTACG